GGAAAAGGGGTTTCTTCGCAGCCTTTCGCAACTCATCTCACAGACTGTCAGCAGCTGCCAAGTCTTGACGCAACATCTCCCCGTGTTTTGCATGTTTCTAGCTCAGGTCTTTCCTCTGCATCGCAGCCCCCTGCTCCAACCGGCATTTCCTACCCCGGCGCCAGCCTAAGAGCCGCAAGGGGACATTTACACGGCAACAAGAGAGTCCCATCATTTGCAAAGGGGGGAAAAAAATAAATAAAAATCGATAATTATTGTCAAAGCCAAGGTGCAACCTGGCAGATTCGACCAGACCCCGTCCCAGAGGCAGACAGAAAGGTTTTTAAAGGCACAACGGTTTTGACGAAGGGCTGAATGCAGGAGCCCTCTGCAAAGCTGCTAAGGGGGGGGGGAGAGGGGAAATCAGAGATTTTTTTAAAGCGCTGTGTTATTTCTGGCCAGGCTACCGAGGAATTTTAGTTTAAAAATGGTCTGCCTCTACCTACCGACCGGCTGGCTGAACAGGAAGCAGAAACGCGGGTGCTCCGGCAAGCGAAAAAATATAAACCGAGTTTGGGCTGTTAGTTGGGCATAAAAAGCGTAAGAAACTGAAAACGGCTAAAAATCAAGATTTCTCCTCATTTTCACCTAGAAAAATCATGTTTGAGCAGTAACTCCCCCCGCCTTTTTTTAAAGGGAGGCAAGGTGGAGATGGAGAACTTCACCAAAACCAGCATGGAAGGCGACAGCAAGGTCTTATTAATCTTAATATTTAACAATTCCTCCGTGGAAACCCAGGGGGGCCGCAGAGCATCCCTGGACCCGCTCTGCCCCTCGCAGCCCACCCACCAGCCCCGCGCCGGGGCCGTCCGAGCCTCCCCGAGGACTCACTTTGAGCTGGGATTTGGAGACCTTGCCGCTCTTCTCCACATCCAAGGCGGTGAAAGCGTACCAGATGGACTTCAGCAGCTCCGCTCGCAGGTCCATGGCTACAGGCGGCGATGGCAGAGGCGGCTCTGTCGAGGCCGAGGATCCGGTTCCAGG